CATTGGATCTTCAACGTGTACTATCATACGTCACGTTCACAGTGATCCCTTTTTATTTACTACAAGACAAATGTGCCGTTTTATTTCATACAGTTCCATTTGGATTGAGACAGGGAAATAATCTAAACCTCACGCGTGGCGTTTCACTGTCAAGGGGGCGATATAGCGTGTATTTAATTACATTGCAAATACTGACTTGAGCCCCACCACTGTTAGCCCTACCATAGATTACCCAACAAAAATACTCTGGCACCGCCACTTTCAATATAGGCCTATAATGAAAATGTCGAGGGCATGCGTGTTGTGTATGCGTGCAATTTCGTTTGCATACATTTTTTCACCAGGGCTTCAGTGTTCGCTGCTGTGGCAAAAACACAAAGAGAGAACGGGAGGGTAATGGTACAGGGAATATTGATTTGTAAAAAAAAAAGTACATTTGAAAAACAGGAGGGAAAAAGGGCAGGTGCTCAAGCCCCGTTTGAGGTCTATCTGGCTGTTTACATCTGGTTCCACTCCACTCAAGTGGGCATACAAAAACAATATTACTGCAGATATCAAAGCCATATCCAGTAGCCTATACTCTGTTCTTTTACTCAAGTAAAAGTACCTAGAACATGTTTTAAATACTCTGCTACAAGTCAAAGTCCTGCATACAAAATCTTACTTACGTAAAAGTATAAGCATCAAAATAATATTATAGTAACAAAATGACTTTCTGAAAATGGCCCATCAATAATCATATATATTAAGTTAATGAATTAAGATTATTAATATAGTAATGATTTAATTACAGCTGGTAAAGGTAGTGCTCATGTGTAATTACTTTAATACCGCTGTCTGCATGATATTTTACCCCATGATTATATATAATTATGGGTTAAAAAGGTATGCCAATGTTTATTTTTAAGTTGATTTATATTTTTTATTATAAATCAGCATTCAAATACTCAAGGAAAGTATATCAAAATTGTATTTGAGTAGGCCTAGTACTTGAGTAAATGTACTTCACTATCCACCATTGACCAGATCTAAATCCCTCATTACGCATCATGTCCATATTTGGATCAGTGTTCATGTCGCATGTCATACTTACTATACTTGACTGAAAAAGATGAAAAAGTTTGTTTATGGACCTCGGTGTGATTTACAGCCCCAGAGACGGAGTGATGATGATGATGATGATGGTGATGGTGATGGTGATGTGCGGATGGGATGAGCTGCGCTGCTGCCCCTTCCCTGTGTGGGCGTTAAGAACTCCTGAAGCGATGAGGCGCTAGGACTATTCACGCAGTATATTGCCCTCCCATTGGTCCCTTAATAGAAGCGCTGCTGTGACGCTACAGCCAGTCTCCGGCGATAAAAAGAAAAGGCGACGCGCCGCGCAGGAGAAACGCAGAGTTGGAGGGTGGACTTCTGATGGTGGATGCTCCTCTGCGACTTACAACGACTGGAAGTATCTGCCCAACTCCTGAGGTACTGACTTCATTTATCATTTATTTTCTCTTTGCTTTAAATTAAGACTTAAAACTTTTTTCTCTGATTGGTGTTAAAAATGATAAGAAAAAGACTCCATAACGCATTGCACACGGGTCTCCCCGAATGGAGTTACTATAGAAACTGAGTCAATTAAGTTTTTTTAAAAGAAATGATTTCCACGATAAGTTATCTCATGAATTGTAGTACTTAAAACTGTGAAAACTGAACGAGTTATGGTGTTTTTCCCTTTGTGTGTGTGTCAGGGATCTGGTGAAGAATGGAGTGGTATGTCCTGGTGCTGATGCTGAGCCTGCCGCCCTCCATCCACGCAGATTGCTCTTCCCAGTGTCAGAAATGTGTGCAGCAGATCATCAGCCCCGGAGCCTTCAGCAGCATGGTGAGACACCTTCACACGGAGCTCACACCCAACAGAAAGTAGCTTGAACACATATTCTCTGTTTGGCAGCAAAAGCGTAAACTTCATTTGGGACGAATTCTCATTATTTGGAGACGATAGTCATTTAAAATGTCTCCATATATTTAATTAGTCTCTTCCCAAGGTTTTATCGTTAGTTCAGCACAGGCAACACCTTTCCTGATTATTTTAACGTTAAGGACCGTTAAATAATATTAAGTAATATCACCACTTATAAAAAAATAATAACCTAATTGATTAACTTTACGCAACCCGTATTATAGCCATCAAAACGTATACATTTACTCATTACAGACTCTGGAAAATAAGGATATAAGTCTTTTCTTTGTATTATTATTTTGTATTATGTTTTTCATTTCCTTAATCCTTAAATTACAAATGCCACATTTGTCAGGGTCAGTAAATATTATCGATTACATCTTAGTTTTTAATCTTCTTTTGATGCACAAAGGAAAAGATATTAGCACTTAAGGGCTTTTAAAGATCCTTCAGGAAAGGTGTGTTTTGGGCTAACGGAAAAACCTATGAAATGTATTAATCAAACCAAAAAGGTGTAAATGTGACAGAGGGGATACCATGCCTCACTGGGTTCACGGACATGTGCCCATATTGTGGGTTTACTCTGTCTCTCTGTGCTTCCTGCAGTCGTGCGGTGCGGAGTGTGTGGGGGGGGCTGCAGAGCTGCCAGCCGGCTCCCGCGCTGGCGGACTTCAGGCAGGATGAAGGCGCGGAGGAGGAGGAGAGCCAGCAGGCAGACCTGGTCAAGCGCTACGGAGGCTTCATCAAGAGGATCTACAAGAACAAGAAGAAGATGTTAGGCTCCCCGTGGCGCGACAATTACATCCTGGAAGCCGAAGCACTGCCCAAGAAATACGAGGACTTGTTGAAGAGGCTGGGAGAGAGGGATGCGGACGGGCCAGATGCGCCGGAGCAACAGATGCCCCATAAACGTTACGGCGGCTTTTTACGCAAATTCGGCCCCAAGTCAAAGAGGAGTAGCTCCGCGGAGCAGGAGAGCCAGGAGCCCGAGGAGGTGCAGAAGCGCTACGGGGGCTTCATGAGGAGGATCCGACCAAAGTTGAACAACCTGAAGTGGGACAAGCGTTACGGAGGCTTTCTGCGCCGCCACTTCAAAATCTCTGCGCGCTCAGTGGAGGAGCCGTACTACTCCTATGATGACTTGAGCCTATAGATGCTGCAATCTATGAGAACTCGTGCAGGTTCACTTGAAACGCCACCGTGTATCCAGAATGATCATATGCCTGCCCATATTGCTTTACTCGGTTGCCTTCTGTGTAACTCATCTCCGTGTTATTGCCATCATCGTCTATCATTCAATAAAGGATGCTTGTTTAATAAACTATGAATACAACCATGTTCCTGTTTGACCAACAAGTTAGAAGGGAATCCTGATTGACCGAGTTCAGCCTCTGGGCGCAAAGCCCCATCCTGCCAAACTCCATTCGGAATTTGGTGATTTTATATGTTCTTATTTATCGACATGACACGCCTATAATATATATGAAATGTCGCTGTTAAATGCGGCATGCACCATTCACTGATTGACACTTTTAATGCAACTATAATTCAAGAATTGGTGACATTTAATTGAATATAATGTGCGTAATGGGTTACTTTGTTGCCATACAAATCCATTCGTCCATCCTCATAACTGACGAACACTTATTTCCTGATGCGAGTTTGAAGATAAAACGAATAAAAATTGATAGAAATTTGGGATTTTCAAGTTGATCGATCACTTTCTAGAGTGAGCCATTAGCTGGCAAAGCAAATAAATATAGTGCAAAATTATTCATAATTTACTATCCGACTGATTTAAACTAATATGGTTTTGCCTTTTCTGTATAGGATAAATTCTCAAAATTCTTCCAAAATGATAATGTGCCTTTTTTCTCTTGAGTTTGTAATGTTGTCTTCATGCGCCAATGAGCAGCTCTCATAGGAAAGAACGAGACGCTGTATCCAGTTCTTATCATCCATGATCTGAATCCACTGAGAAACAGAAGCGCGTCACAGTGCTGACAGTGAGGCTGTGGCGCCATCTTGTGGGCGAAGGGAAGAAGTGTCAAGCGAAGTCCCACAGCTTCTACAAGATAAAAACTCACTCAATAAAAACGTATTAAAAAAGAAAGGATAACAAAGTTTAAAATGTCAAGATAAGTCCCAATGATTCTAAATATCACTCAGTAATCGTAAATATAAAACAAACAGGATAATACTCAGAAACACGTGGATGAAAGTCATTCAGAAAAGAATAACAATAATTACAATAATATTAATAATGATAATAAATCAAATGTGTCAAGTGTCAGGTAAAGTCCTAATGCTTCTACAGGATAAAACCAACTCAGTAAAAAATTGAAACTCTGTGTAAACGTTTAGCACAATACACTTCCAGCTGTGACTCACGGCTGCTCACTCAGCCTGGACTGGCTGAGAGGATCTTTAGAACAAACACACCACATAAAGGGAACTGATAGAGGACTTATCATATCTCCTTATTGATTACAATACCAGTGGTCGGATGTAACTAAGTACATTTACTCAAGTATCATTTTTGCAGAACTAACAGGAGTATTTAAATTGCTACTTTGTAATTCTACTCCACTACATTTATTTGACACTTATACTTAGTTTATACATGAGTAACATGTTGTTTGAATGGTATATATTTACTACTCATTTTGTCATTACTATCTTAAATTAAATTATTAAAACATTAACATGTATTTTTCTAATAATGAAAACACAATAATATAATATCCTATAATAACACAGCACTTTTAAAAGAGCCATTCTTCACAATGAGGGCGTTTCCTTTCGATACCTCAGTACATCTAGCTCATAACACTTCTGTACTTTTCCTAATGTAACATTTCTAACTCAGGACTGGTACTTGTACTGGAGTAGGTGTAGTACTTTTACTTAAGCAGAGTAGCTGAGTACCTTTTCCACCGTTGATGATCACCCATTATATTTCTATAATACTTGTATATCTTTTTTCACCAGAAGACATCAGGGCAGCTTCAATACAACAGGATGAACACACTATAACCCTACTCTGGTGAATGGATCTACATTGAAAATGTCTTTATTACTATTTGCTTTAAGGTAACTATCATTTGTCTCAATAGAAAATACCATACATGTATATGTTAGTGGAAAACAGCTCATTTACTCGTTTTGATATCACCTCAACACATTTCAAATCTAGTACATTGTCATTTTAACTGATTTCATTTGATAAAGACATCTGGAAGCGATCAACAATAAAATAAGAGTGAAAAACAACACATTCATATTTACACTATGTAACAATACACGTTTTCCATTTGAAGACTGAGCATTTATTACTAAACTCAACAACACTGTTTCTTTCGGCCTCATACGTCCCTACAGAAACACACGGCTGTATCAAATATATTAGTTACATATTTACAATCAAATCATTGCTGACACACATCAGACATACCTCCAATACTAATACCTACATGGTCAAATTGAATTAAATTATCTGTAAAAGTGAACATGTGGACGAGTCCTCAGCCGTCCTTTCATCCAGAATAATGAGAATAACAAGGGGGGGGAACATCTGTCTCTGTCTCAGTGCTGCTCCTCTGATTCCCCCCCCCCTTCCTCTTTAACCTGCTCTGGCTGACCCCCTCCGTCGCCGTCTGCCTTGCATTCCTCTTGTGAGTCGTCCGCAGCGGTTGCCGTGGTTTCCAGCACACTGATGGTGCCGGCCTGCTGCTGGACGGAGGACAGGCTCTGCATCGTCACCAGCTGGAACTGAGGCCCCATCAGCTTCAGCAGGGACCCCCCGGCCCCCTCCTGGCCCGCCGCCGCAGACAGCACGGTGAGGTTAGAGGCGTCGCCCATCAGCTCGGACCCCGAGAGCGAGGAGGTCAGAAGGGTGTACCCCCCCAGGTTGGCGCCGGTTCCTCCTGCCATGGTCAGAAGCCCCCCCATCTGGTTCAGAGTGATCTGGGTGGGGGCGGCGTTGACGGAGGCGGGCCCGGAGACGGCTCGGGTCAGCCGGGGACGCTTGGGCGTGGGGGGGGCGGGCACCGGGGCAAGGGTCATCAGCACGTTGTTCAGGTGCTGGGATTTACTCTTCAGCTCCTTGGCGCGCTTCCTGTGCTCGTCACACTGCTGCTCCAAGGCTGAGGAACACACACAAACACACACACCGTCAATACACACAAACACACACCGTCAATACACACACCGTCAATACACACCCCGTCAATACACACACCGTCAATACACACAAACACACACCGTCAATACACACAAACACACACCGTCAATACACACAAACACACACCGTCAATACACACAAACACACACACACCGTCAACACACACAAACACCAGGGTTCATACACTTTTTCACCAATGACTTTTCCATGACTTCTCAATGACCTTTACCTAATTTTCCATTACCAAAAAAAAATTACCACTGAAAGATGTCTATTTTAACATGAAACAGGAAAATAAGGTCTGCATATGAAACATGTAGTGCCTATCTAAAACAAATCAAATAGTAGTCTTACTAGCTTCTACACGCTAAAGCAACTGTAGTCAGGGAGGCAAACTCATCAGGTATGAAAAAGGTGACAAGGATCCGAGCCCCCCGACCCCACGGAATATCGGCTTTAAAATGAGGAATAACAGATGATTTGAGCAGTCAGAGCAACTAAAGCAGCAGTTAGTAATAACAGAAACGCCAAAGAGTCACATCTAATAGAAATATATAAAAGCATTTATTTTAATTGGAGCAGTCATTTTATAATTTTGGCTGTTGAGCATTTTGAAAATGTATTTTCATGCCTCTGTGCAAGGCTTAACTAAGTAACTAAGATCATAAACTCAAGTACTATACTTGGGTACAATTTTGAGATAGTTGTACTTTATTAAGTATTTCAATGTTTTGCTACTTTGTACTTTTCTCCTCTACAGTTCAGTGGTACATGGTGTACTTCTACTCCACTACATCTATTTAATACCTTTAGTTACTTCACAGATGTGGATGAATGATGAACAATATAATCAAGTGTTGAATCAGACTTTAGTTCCACCTGGAGTAAATCCACCAGCTACCCTGCAGTATACAAAGTCATTCAAACTAGCTGCACCTTTACCAGCTTTGAGAACACTTTAATGATCAATCATTATAAAACATATCATATATATTATTCTGAAATGGACCAATCTGCACAACGACTACTTTTACTGTCGCTACTTTCACTATATTTAGATGAGAATACTTTTCTACTTTTACTTGAGGAACATTTTGAATAGAGGTCTTTTACTGAAACATAGTATTCCTACACTCTGGTACTTCTACTTTTACTCAAGTACAAGATCTGAGTACTTCTACTTTTACTCAAGTACAAGATCTGAGTACTTCTACTTTTAATCAAGTACAAGATCTGAGTACTTCTACTTTTACTCAAGTACAAGATCTGAGTACTTCTACTTTTAATCAAGTACAAGATCTGAGTACTTCTACTTTTATTAAGTACAAGATCTGAGTACTTCTACTTTTATTAAGTACAAGATCTGAGTACTTCTACTTTTACTCAAGTACAAGATCTGAGTACTTCTACTTTTAATCAAGTACAAGATCTGAGTACTTCTACTTTTACTCAAGTACAAGATCTGAGTACTTCTACTTTTACTCAAGTACAAGATCTGAGTACTTCTACTTTTACTCAAGTAGAAGATCTGAGTACTTCTACTTTTATTAAGTACAAGATCTGAGTACTTCTACTTTTACTCAAGTACAAGATCTGAGTACTTCTACTTTTAATCAAGTACAAGATCTGAGTACTTCTACTTTTACTCAAGTACAAGATCTGAGTACTTCTACTTTTACTCAAGTAGAAGATCTGAGTACTTCTACTTTTATTAAGTACAAGATCTGAGTACTTCTACTAAAGTACAAGATCTGAGTACTTCTACTTGTAATCAAGTACAAGATCTGAGTACTTCTACTTTTACTCAAGTACAAGATCTGAGTACTTCTACTTTTATTAAGTACAAGATCTGAGTACTTCTACTAAAGTACAAGATCTGAGTACTTCTACTTTTAATCAAGTACAAGATCTGAGTACTTCTACTTTTACTCAAGTACAAGATCTGAGTACTTCTACTTTTACTCAAGTACAAGATCTGAGTACTTCTACTTTTACTCAAGTACAAGACCTGAGTACTTCTACTTTTATTAAGTACAAGATCTGAGTACTTCTACTAAAGTACAAGATCTGAGTACTTCTACTTTTACTCAAGTACAAGATCTGAGTACTTCTACTTTTACTTATCTGAGTACTTCTACTTTTACTCAAGTACAAGATCTGAGTACTATACTTTTATTAAGTACAAGATCTGAGTACTTCTACTAAAGTACAAGATCTGAGTACTTCTACTTTTACTCTAGTAAATATATATACTTATACCACCTCTGTTTATAGCCTATGAAAAAAACTATTAGAAAACGAAGGCTAAAGCTAACGTTAGCAGATAGTGACTGTATGCTAGCTAGCTCAAAGATTCCTTAAATGATATTGCGACAGAAAAACGTTTCAGTTCACATCACGCTCTGCCGCTCTGCTCTGAACACCTGAACGGCCCGTTCTAACAGCTGTTCACCAGCGGCTCAGTCTGTGCCACAGTGACTCCGCACACTTAACGAACACACCGTAGCTAATGTAGCTGACCCTCATCCCGGAGCAGCAGAGTTCAGCCGACAGCCAGGAAGACTCGAGCACACAGCTCGCGCTTCATATATTAAAAAACACCATGTGCGTCATGATGGCACATAACAGCTCGCGACCGCAGATTTCGGCGATTAGATAAAATGTAAATTATATTTGACGCAACTTTAGTTACATTTCCATGACTTTTTCAAAACTTTGGGAAAAATATTGTTTTCCATAACTTTTCCAGGGCCTGGAATTTGCATTTTGAATTTCCATGACTTTTCCAGGTTTTCAATGACCGTACGAACCCTGAAACACACACACCGTCAACACACACAAACACACACACCGTCAACACACACAGTCAATACACACACCGTCAATACACACAAACACACACACACACCGTCAACACACACACAGTCAATACACACAAACACACACACCGTCAACACACACACCGTCAACACACACACCGTCAACACACACACCGTCAATACACACACCGTCAATACACACAAACACACACACACACACCGTCAACACACACAGTCAATACACACAAACACACACACCGTCAACACACACACCGTCAACACACACACCGTCAACACACACACCGTCAACACACACAAACACATACCGTCAATACACACACCGTCAATACACACAAACACACACACACACAGTCAATACACACCGTCAACACACACACCGTCAACACACACACCGTCAATACACACAAACACACACACCGTCAACACACACACCGTCAATACACACAAACACACACACCGTCAACACACACACCGTCAACACACACACAGTCAATACACACAAACACACACACACCATCAACACACACACCATCAACACACACACCATCAACACACACACAGTCAATACACACAAACACACACACCATCAACACACACACCATCAACACACACACCGTCAACACACACACCGTCAATACACAAACACACACACCGTCAACACACACACCGTCAATACACATAAACACACACACCGTCAATACACACACCGTCAATACACACACCGTCAACACACACAAACACACACCGTCAACACACACAAACACACACCGTCAATACACACAAACACACACCGTCAACACACACAAACACACACCGTCAATACACACAAACACACACCGTCAACACACACAAACACACACCGTCAATACACACTGGTTCTACTCGGGAGGACTGTAACGCAGCACAGAGAATAAATATCCATTTACTGTTTACTTGCTTTGGCGTATGATGGTGCAAACATAAAACACAAATGAAGTTGTAAGAGAAAGGTCAAAAATAAAACGTACGCACATTTGATTACATTACCAAGTGGACCCCAACGAATGAATTGCATGGCAGTGAAAGAATTGGCACAAGCTACGTAATGTTTGCACTGACCAACGGCACACCTGACCATGAATAATGTTCTGCGCCGGTCCTTTAGGCAGTAGGAATGGGAGATAGCAAACAGTGAGACACTTTAGGAACTACCACTCTACAGAGGGGAATCACAGCGGCCATGCTTTAGCTAAGTGTAGCTAACCCTTAGTAACACAAACTGGAAGATTACCCCCCCTCCCTGGTCTGTGTGAACACAGTGCAGCGTGTACTGACCGGCCAGGCTGCGGGTGTACTGCTCTCTGTAGCGGTCCATCTGGCTCTTATGACTGGCCAGAACCTTCTTCACTAGGTCCAACATCCCAAAGTTCTGCACTATGTTGTTGAGCAACACAGCATCTGGAAAGCAAAGACAGGATGGTCAGAGTTCAACATTTACGAGGGATTCTACTGCAACCTTTATTGAAAAATTGCTGGACTAAGACTTTTTGTAGCCGACTCACGTTTGGTAGAATAATCATTTTGACTTTCTAGTCATGTTTAAGACATGAGTAATGTATGAACATGTTCAAAGACACATGCATTTATATGAAGTGTTTATTTCTGATGCTATAACTTATAACGTTTATATAAAGATTTTTGTTTTATTTTCCTTGTACATTTTATTTGTATGTTTATATTCTTCTGTTTAAATGCATTAATTATCATTTTATTTATTCTAAAATCGAGGAACAAAACACGCTTTCCCCCAGACAGTCATTACAGTGGTGGGTGTAGTTGGATGTTTGGACCCTCCTTCTGACCTTTGACCTGCAGCGGGGGGTCACACACTCTCTCCTGCAGCCCCTTCAGCACCTCCTGCAGCTCCTTCTGGAAGTCCTCCACCACCTCCTCCATCAGACCAGCATCCTTCACTGAACGCCAGAAAGTCACCGAGTCCTCTGGAGACACACACACACACAATAAAGTACACACTCCACCGGTTCCCTCCACATTAAGGTGAGTGTGTGCGCAGGTTTGATCACCTCCGATGGCGGTGACCCACTCTGACGTCTCCTCCATCGCCTCAGGGAAAGAGACTGCTGCTCCATTCACTGCAACACAAACAGTACACAACACTCATTAAACCACACAACTCCATTGATTCTGGGTGATACCGCACATAGGAATATGGCTTACAAGCTTTTCCCCCTATCATTTCAGTTATTATTAATATATGTATTGTTTAGTGTTTTCCTATCCTATATTCATGTTTCTTGTGCACATAAAAATACTCAAAACAAATTCCTTGTATTCTCAAATCTACACCCCCTGTAATATAATTGATATACCTGGACTGCATCCCAACATCGCCAGCAATTTTTTTCAAATGAGAACAGAGTGCAGGGTTTGTCACTTGCCTTGAGACAAACCCTGCAGCCAGCGTCTTCTTTCTGAGTGTTTTGCCTTTCTTTGTGGACACCTTTACATACTGCAGCAGAGGAACCAAACCACCACTCAAGCGTAAATATAAATGTTGCATCCTGTAGAGCAGGGGGGTCAAACTCAAATACACAGTGGGCCAAAATTAAAAAATCTGTACCAGTCGAGGGCCGGACTGGTTCAATGTTTATTGCAAAACGTATTGAAATGAACTTATTGCACATATTGAACCTGGAACTAACAAAGCTTAAATGATTGCCTATAAAAACAACATTAAACATTAAATAATCAGTTGCATTCATTTCTTATGGCTCTATCTGCAGCTTTTCCAGAGTCATTTCTTATGATTACATTTTCCCACAGGCCAACAACAGCTTCAACAAAACTATTTCCCTCAAAGAAAAACCAAACATGCCCTGTTGTCGTGAGAGAAAAAGTGCAGAAGGAAACATCCATTTAAAGGTGGGGTAGGTCATTTTGGAAAAACCAGCTCGAGTGCGCTAGAATTTGAAAATACACAGCCGGGATAAATCTGCCACTTCCTTCCTGAGCCCCTCCTCCAACACACACGAACGCACACATGACCAATGAGGGCACGAGATCCGTTTGTGCACAGATGGAAGGCTGACAGGCAGGTAGGCCATCCAGTTATTTCAAGCCAGATACTTGGCATCTCATCTTGGGTACAAGTTCATCAATGTTTGGGGTCAGGCTCTGAGCTGAGGAAACCCTCAGGATGGAGTGAAGGTGTGAATGCAATATACCGGCGGGCCAGATCTAATAGTGATTAGAAATTATCCTGCGGGCCGAAATAAAATCCACCACAGATTTGGCCCCCGGGCCTTGAGTTTGACATGTATGTTGTGCAGGGGTCGGCAAGTAAGTGTGGCCTTGGGCCAATGTTTTTCTGAGCCACCAGATAACGGGCCGGAACATAATCAAAGGCTTATTTAAATAATTGATTGTTAAAACATGTGACACGTTCGAATGCTGGGGGGGGGGGGGGGGGGGGGTGCGCTAGTGAACTGTCAACTGGGGGGGGGGGGGGGGGGGGGGGGGGGGGGGGGGGGGGGGGGGGGGGAGCCTCGCTGGGGTGCCGTTCTGTGATTCCCCAGATTCTACAGATGGCCAGTCCGCCACTGCTCTCCAACTTATTAAGATCCAAAGCTTTAGTGCGTTTTCAATCAATGCTGAGTACAGCCAAACTTGACAGTGTCTTCTCTGTCATTGTAGACCGAATGCTTCTCGTTTTGCGCCGTCCCGTTCAAATGACAATCACATTTCCTCGCTCGCGCCAGGGCCGGGGGAGGGGTTACAAGGCTCGCGTCTTGTGCTGCATTCACTGGCACTCGGACATTAGGGATTTTCTCTCATAAATATCCGATGAGCCAAATCCTTTCTTTCAAACAAAGCTGTCAACTGGGGTGGCAGCTTATGCACCACCACCCCTCGCCCTCCATGATCAATCGGCTTCTCCGATTTTGTTGTCAATGTTTTGACTGAACTTTGTTACTGTTCACATATAAGTAAACATTACGTTTGAATTATTTAGTGAGCTGGTGTTAGTTTTTTCAAACCACACACCGCATGTTGGCTATTTCAGCACCACTCACTTATTGATCCACTATCATCGTCAGTGCACCCCACTGCCAGATTGTGCCTGTGCTGTGTGTCATTCACTCTCAACTTGGATAACTTGAATAAGCATTCTTCAGGTGTAGGTAGATTCTCTATTCGGACATTATAGGCTATATGTGCGACTGTCGGTCCGATATTGTAAAAAATAAAAAAAACAATCTTTTATTTTTATTCTCAAAATAATTTTCCGGGCCAAATGTTATTGCTGGCGGGCCACCATTGGCCCGCGGGCCGCCTGTTGCCGACCCATGCTGTAGAGCAGTGGTTCCCAGCCTTTTTTCCCAAGAGCCCCCCCAAATGACTCCTGTTGGAAGTTGCGCCCCCCCCCCCACACACACACACACACACACGGGGGGGGGGGGGCGCAACAGCAGTAATTAAAGTTTCAAAGTCTCAAAATGCTACAACTACTGTCACAAACTGGATGAATGTGAAGTATTTTGTTAAAGGAGGATGAAAGCGTAATTAAGGAGCACTATTGGAGTGACTTTGATGGTTATTGGACTCAGGATTCATTCATTTGGATTCCCGCTGTATGAAGGAAATGTATGAAATGAAAGGACGGCGCAAGTGGAAACATTACATTACATTGCATTTAGCTGATGCTTTTATCCAAAGCGACTTACAATAAGTGCATTCGACCAAGAAGACACAAACTTGAAGAAAACAGAATCATATAAGTACATCAGGTTTCATAGAGCCAAAACATTTCAAGTGCTACTCAACTGGCTTTAGATAAGCAAGCCCTTTATTAGTATATAAGTGCTTTGTTAATAGTTCTATCGCTCGAAGTGGAGTCGAAAGAGATGAGTTTTCAGTCTGCGCCGGAAGATGTGTAAGCTATCTGCCGTCCTGATGTCAATGGGGAGCTCATTCCACCATCTTGGTGCCAGGATAGCAAACCCACGTGTTTTTGACGAAACAATTCACAAAGGGATTAAACTGTTTAAAACACATGCTCAATGTAAGCCGGATTTTGCCGATGTGTTTATGTGGATTCAAAAGTCGTAAATAATCTACAAAATGGAGGAGACCGATCTGATCGGAGCAAAAGTGACAAATAATCTGAAACCGGCATGGACAATGACTGTGTTTTAAAAATGCGCTTATCCAGACAAGCCTGGTTTGGATACTTTACGGGCAGAAGAAACATTTCTATTAAAGAAAGAATTATACATTTCTGTCTTTTTATGCCTTTAACAGAGCTAACTTGAATTTGTATTCAAATTAATGAATCAATTATTTTTTATATTTTATTGTAATGTAGAGACAATTATATGTAAAAAAAAAAAAAAAAAAGTCTAAATATGATATTTGGCCTCGAATCATCTGAGGACTGGCGCCCTCCCTGCGATCTTTGGCTCCCCCCCAAGGGGGGCGTGCACCCCAAGTTGGGAACCACTGCTGTAGAGGATCCAGCTCTGAGATGAACCAGCACAATGTCTGACGCTTTGAAACTTACAGTCAGCTGATGAGGGGGGGGCAGGGACCAGGTCAGCAGACTGATCAGTGCTGACGGACACTTTGGCTCCCACCAGGTCTATCTTAGTGCTGCGGCACGTGTTAGAGCAGACCTTGGAGTGTTGGTAGAAGTCCAGCTCACCGGAGTCCATGATCTTCCTGTGGAGTGAAATAAGATCTAAGGCTTAGAGCAAGACACAACAGGGAAAAAAAGAATGTATACAATCTGTAAAATGTTTGTTTTTACTCCAAAAAACGTATATAGCACACTACAGGAAAGGGAAAGCCACAGAAGCAGAATTGGGCCTCTATGGAATGCATTCCATGAGTACAGACCTGAGCATGGTGCCATTGAGGCGGATGGCTCTCTTCCAGTCCTTCAGAGTGGATTTCCCTGCTAAACACACAAACTCCTTGGGGCTGATGAGCTGCCCATTGAACTGATGGGAGGGGCAGGAAAAGAACCAGATGAGATGATCCAATTAATCATAAACTCAGTCAACATTTCCTAAAATGCGTTTGGAAATGAGATTTAGCAGAGCTGTTTGTAGAAGTTTGTGTTTTGTACCTGGACACATTTCACGTTGATCCCCGGGCAAACAAACTTCTTCCAAACCAGCGTGGCTTTGGTGTCTCCACAGGTGATGTTGTAGAATTCATCAGCTTCCACATCCACCTCCTCAGATAACTTCACTGCAGGGACCAGAACACTGTCAATTCTTACATCTGATCATGCAACATCTTTTATAACATTATAAATATCATTAAGGGTATTTGAAACACATTTGGATAGCCCCAGCAGGATTTGTTGCTCAGTTACAGAGGTACCTGAGAGCTGTTTCTAGAATGAAATACAAGCTTTGGAACAATTCCTATTAGAATAACTTCTAATCCCAACACAGACTCTTCTGTTTTTGAGGCATATACACATATTCAAAGTTAATCAATTGTCTTGAAAAATTGTTTGAATCACATGGAGGTAAACTGGTACGCTTCAGATCTCTAGATTTAAGCATTAGCAATGTTGATTCTGGATGCTGAGTCACATGATCCAGTGTATTTGTGCGAGTCACATTACCTATGACTGCCTCTTCCCTGGACATTGAATCTGTTCTGTTGGCCTCAGCTTCTGCGTCCACTGATGCTTCTGTGAGGATTTCCTCCCTGAAAAAACAACAGTGTTTCATCCATCAAACTGAACAACAGGACCATGAAAGCTCACACTGTGTTCCTGAGCAGAGTGTGTACATTACCCCGTCTGAGCGCTGAGCTCTGCGCTCACCAGCACGGCCTTCTCCTCCTCCTCCTCCCCCAGAGACGAGAGCTCCTCACCCACATTGTCCGGTATGGTGACGATCACTATCTCCCTCATGTCCTGCATGCTGACCTCTGAAGAAGCCATGGAGGATAGATGGAGCTTCACAACAGACAGGATGACAGCAGAGATGAAACACTGATGTTGATTATATCCCTTTAAATAATATAGAAAATAAAAAGTTATCGTAAGTAATCGCACTTATTCGTCTTTATTTTTTATATTACTAATGTGTGTTTTTTGTCTCTATGTAAGATGGCTGACTCTTTGTTATTGCTTGCCTTTTTTACCTGCTATGCCACTTTTGCTGTAACACTGTAAATGTAAAAAAAACAAAAGGCAATAGAATACTAAAAAAGAAAATATGCTTTTACTCCACTACATTCTGGCGACAAATCTTGTACTTTTTACTCACTACTTTAGTTACTTTTCAGATATAGGTTAACACTTTATTTATATACGTTATTAATATAAACCGACACACATTATTATATATTGTTATAGGTCAAGCTACCCACTAGTGTATAAAATAGTTAAAATAAACCCCACCTTTACCAATTGCAACATTGAAGTGATGAACACATAAATGCACCATATAATATTATAAAAAAATATATTTAGCTTAAAATTTCCATTTTGCATAACGAGTACTTAAAGTATTTGTAATGCTTATACTTTTACTGAAGTTCAATTTCTAATGCAGGACTTTAACTTGTAACAGAGTATGTTTACTCTGTAGTATTGCTACTTTTACTCAAGTCAATTATCTGAGTACTTTTCCCACCTCATCCGTAAGGCTTGTTTAGAGTATACCCTATTTGATATCTTTTAAATGCTGGTGCCTTTAAATATTAACTTGTAGTTTTCAATGCAGTTTGTTATGCCCTTTTATTAAGCTAAGACTGAAAGAGACAGCATAAGGCATTCAGGATAATAGATCATCTTACCTTCAGTCGTCAGTAGAGTAATGTTGTCTTTGGGTGAAACAGAGACAGTCTGTAACACCAGAATGGATGGATGCTAGCTAATGTTAGCTTTGGATGCAAGCTAGCTAAACACTGCAGTTCATATTTCCATTGAGCTGCCAGGGGTCTCCTATTTCAAACACAACGCAGACCTACTTCTTTAATATGTTGTAGGGACTTATTGAGAAGTACATTTAAACTAATATCTACAGGACTAAATGAGTGTAATTCACGGATATATTTTTTGTTGCGGATTCTTCTTCTCTTGAGAATTAACGGTAGCTTGCATTCTTCTTCTTTGAGGTTTTACGGCAGCCAGCATCCGCTGAGTTGCAATTCCGCCACCTAGTGGGAGTAGTTCATACTGTGACATCTCAATGTAGATGTTTTTCCCAGGACAGTGTCGGTCAAGAAGTCAAACAATCAGTTTAGTACTTTCCTTGTCTTTCCATACTCTTCTGTTAAACTAATGCTTTGTTCAGAATAAAGGCTACAACTAAACTCTGAAATGTCCTATTATCGATGCTGATGTGAATGATGATTCTGAGTCTTATTTCTGACTCAGATAGCACTGATTTGGTTGCTGACCCACATGCCATGCTTCCATATTAGAGCCTTGACCAGATCAGAGAAACATACATATGCATTAGTTATCTGCTCCCAACGATAACCCTTAATATTTGATTTCCTTTTTAGCATACTTTCTTGACATCTTTAAAATGTGAATCCTCCATGTTAAATCTGAAATCAAATTAAACACAAAGAAACTGACAATCTTTAACTTTCATCAAATTATTGCCAACAAGTTTTAACTCATCATCATCATCTCATCTCCCAAATTAAATTGTCCTTTGCTAAAAGTATTTTTTCCCTTTTGTAAATGTCTTCTCTGTAGAGAATCTCCCCACTTGGTTTATCCCTTGATGAGCTCTTTTTTCATTCAAATGCATATTTTTCTTTCTTTTTCACAGAACCTGAATGTTTTTAAATACATTCATCATAACTGAGAATAGGGAAATTAATCTCCCTAATTTGGGACCTCCATTCCCCATCACATCTTTACTTGGGAATTCTGATTCTGTTTTAACTTGAATATTTCTTCCATTCTGAACAATCATTATTCAGTTATTTCCTCCCATATTCCCATTATATTCACCTCATCAGAAGACCGTGGATCTTATGTACATCTTCCATTTGTAAAACCACTACAGTCAGCCACCTTGCCCATTTCTTCCAACAGATGCATTGGTCTTTTATTTTCAGTGTTGCATTACTGCCATCGTCTGGAGTGATGAAACCTTGCAGTGTCTGGTACGTCAGGCTTTCCTCAGCATTCCTGTTTCCCAGCCACTGTTAGCCCTTAAACTTGTATTTCTAAAATGATTTCCTATGTTTCTATATATTTCTTGCAACTACAATTACACAGAATATAAGCAACACGATATAACCTCAGTGAACTTATTCCTCTTGCCTTTTTTTATGGTTTCGTAAAGTAAATACTTAAAGGTGGGGTAAGTTTGAGAAACCGGCTCGAGATACACTTTTTGTTATATTCCATGGAATGCTCTTAACTTCCCGATAGCAATGAATATCTTAAGTGCTTTGACAAAAAAATCCAAAAACAAAATGTCATCTGTGGAAGCCGTAAAAGCACGACCAATCATTTTAGCCGGCCCGGCTAAAATAACTGGATGGTCTACCTGCCTGTCTGTGTGTTGGAGGAGGGGCTCTGTAAGGAAGTAGCAGATTTCTTCCGGCTGGACTCGAGCTGGCTTCTCCAAAATTACCTACCCCACCTTTAATGAACCTGACTAGAGCATACATTCACTGTATGATGACCTATTCCTTCAACCCATTTTAAAGCCATCAAAATGGCTAAAATGGCTAAAAATATATACATTTATATTTGAAGCGTGTCAGCATATCTCAACTTCTGTGACTGCAGAACCTGTACTATCTGTGGTGGGTCCTTTAGATCCATCAGTAAAACCTGCCCATAGTCTGCCTGTTTACATTCATTTTAATGCACTTGTAGTTTTTACCTTAATTTGAATTGTTTCCAAATCCACAACCAGAGTTTTAGGAGCCACAGAGGGATTGAAGGCAGGGGCGGACTGCCCCCCCCCCCCCCTCACTTCAGAAACACTTTTTGTTATATTCCCTAGAATGCTCTTAACATCGCGATAGCAATGAATAAATTAAATGCTTTGACAATAAATACATTAAAACAATAGGCTTGTTTGAGACGCGTTGCGGCTCGCCTCGAAAGTAGACGAGAGTAGCCGATCGCAGCCGGGGGAGGTCTCAAAAAGCTCGCCTGAAGTCGGACAGCTCCGAGTCGGCTTCTTCTTCTTCATCTTCTTCTTCGCCTTCTTCTTCTTCTCTCTGTTTTTTGGCGGATTGCAAACAACTTTAAGGTGCATCCCGCCACCTCCGGAGTCGGCTTGACTCGGTTTGCATTTATAAAGAATGCACACATGTGTTTAATCGTTAATGTCAGATATGTACTAAGTAAATACATTTGTTCCTGCTCAAGATTAGATTCAACTTTATTGTTATTGCACATATTACAGGTACTGAGACAACGAAGTGCAGTTTAGCTTCTAACCAGGTGCAACAAGCAGTAAAGTGAAAAGTAATGTACACAATCTACAGAATAAAATATAGAATGAATTGAATGATGAATAAACAGTGAGGGCTATGAATTCACTAGATATCAGCCTGTGAGCAGTATGAACAGTGTGTATGAATATGCTAAGATATATAAAGTATGAAAACGGTAAGCAGTGCAAGTATAGTATAAAATATATCTATATTAATTTCATGATGATAAACATTGTGGAACAATGATGAAAAATGGGAATGGATGTGGCGACGTAAAACTGACACAAAACAACAACAAACTTTTGCCGAGCCAATTGGAGAGTTTCATCAGCAGCACGGGGTAAAAACCACCAATGAGCGCTCAGCTCGAGATACCAGCGAGTCGTTTCCCATCAAGCATTTCGCTTCCGCAGCCCGTGGAGAGCAACTATGCCGCCTCGCTGCGCCTCGCTCTCAAGGCTGCGGGCGTCTTTGTCCCGCGAGATTTCAACGTCTCATGTAGGCGGGCCTCCAGAGCAAGTCGGACAAAATGACTAACCATCATGCAACGCACTAGCAAGACGTTGATCGCAACTGCGCAGGTCTGCGCAGGTCTCGCTTGTCTCAAACAAGCCTACTGTCATCAGTGGAAGCCGTGGCGCTGTAAAAAGCACGACCAATCATCTGAGCCGGCCCGGCTAAAATAACTGGATGACCTACCTGCCTGTCAGCCTTCCATCTCGTGCACAAACTTATCTCGTGCCCTCATTGGTCATGTGCGCGTTCGTGTGTGTTGGAGGAGGGGCTCTGTAAGGAAGTCTGAAGGAAGGGGCAGATTTTTTCCGGTTGTGTATAGTTTCAAATTATAGCGCACTCGAGCTGGTTTCTTCTCCATTCTTACCTACCCTACCTTTAATATCTTGCTTTCTTCTTTTCTAAGGTCACATTGTTCTCTTATTTGCATTGCATTTCATATTGAGGTAATCCAAAAAGTAATGGAAAGTAATCAGGTTACAATTTGTGTGTGGGATACAACTAATAATTGTGATGGAATACATTATGAAATAACCCTCCCAACCCTGGTCACATAATGTTGAGCTCAGCATCTCCTGTCAAGCCAAAACTCCACTTTAGTGTTCTCTCCCTCTTCCAGCAGGCTTGTAGCGTTTTATGGTTGACATGACATCTTAAATTCATTCAATAGTTCCTCTAGCCTTACTACGTTATGCAGTCTATGGTCTAATTAGAGCTACTCATAAGATACATTTTGGATGTCAAATATATAACATCAGCTCTCCAGTAAAAAACCTACAAGGTATCTACAAGGTATAGGTATCAGAAGCGTTGGAAGCTTCAACGCACGCCGCTGTGTGGACGGGCCGTAACGGCCCCTACACACGGCGGCGTGCGTTGCCGCTTCAACGCTTCTGCCCATTCACTTTGAATGGGGTGACGTCACGATTCGCCGAACTGCATTGTGGGAGCAAAGCGTAGCTTCTCTCGCGGTGCTCGCTGCAAAAGTAGAGCAATGTTCTACTTTTGCCGCCTCGACGGAGGCGTCAGCCAATCAAATCCCGCGTATGCAAATCTGACAGTACAAGCGCTAGCCAATCAAACCGTGTGTATGTTGGGAGAGCCAGACCGCAGTTATTTCCCATATGTCAAAAAATGGAGGAGAAAATTATCGTGGCGATAGGGAATCACCCGGTACTATATGACCAGTCCCTCTTTACATACAGGGATACAAACCGGAGGAGCCAGGCATGGGGGGAGGTGGCAGAGACAGTGGGTGAAACTGGTAGGTTTTCGCCTGTTTGGGGAGTTTATATCTAGTGTACTTCGTTTGAATGGACAGCTAGCAAGCATAGACAGTAGGCTTGTTTGAGACAAGCGAGACCTGCGCAAACCTGCGCAATTTCGATCAACGTCTTGCTCGTGCATTGCATGATGGTTAGTCATTTTGTCCGACTTGCTCTGGAGGCCCGCCTACATGAGACGTTGAAATCTCGCGGGACAAAGACGCCCGCAGCCTTGAGCGCGAGGCGCGGCGAGGCGGAGCAGTTCCTCTCCACGGGCTGCGGAAGCGAAATGCTTGATGGGAAACGACTCGCTGGTATCTCGAGCTGAGCGCTCATTGGTGGTTTTTACCACGTGCTGGTGATGAAACTCTCCAATTTGCTCGGCAAAAGTTTGTTGTTGTTTTGTGTCAGTTTTACGTCGCCACATCCATTCCCTTTTTTCATCATTGTTCCACAATATTTATCATCATTAAATTAATATCCATATATTTTATACTATACTTGCATTGCTTACCGTTTTCATACTTTATATATCTTAGCATATTCATACACACTGTTCATACTGCTCTCAGGCTGCTGTGTATATATAGTGTATTCATACCCCTCACTGTTTATTCATCATTTAATTAATTCTATATTTTATTCTGTATATTGTGTACATTACTTTTCACTTTACTGCTTGTTGCACTCCTGGTTAGAAGCTAAACTGCATTTCGTTGTCTCAGTACCTGTAATATGTGCAATAACAATACAGTTGAATCTAATCTTGAACAGGAAAAAATGTATTTACTTAGTACTAGTGCTGTCAAAATTATCGCGTTAACGGCGGTAATTAATTTTTTGAATTAATTGCGTTAAAATATTTAACGCATTTAACACATGTGCAGAATGGCCAGCCCCATACA